GGAATGAACAAAACCTCTGAGAAATGTGGGATTATATAAAGAGACCAAATCTATGACTGATTGGTGTCCCTGAAGGAGACAGGGAGAATGGAACCAAGTTGGAAACATATGTCAGGATTTTATTCAGGAGAAATTTCCTAACCTAGCAAAACAGGCCAACATTCAAATCCAGGAAATGCAGAGAACCCCAGTCAGGTACTCCACAAGAAGATTATTCCCAAGACACATAATCATCAAATTTCCAAGGAAAAATTTTAAGGGCAGCCAGGTAGAAAGGCCAGGTCACCTACAAAAGGAAGCCCATCAGACTAACAGCAGACCTCTCAGTAGAAACCCTACAAACTAGAAGAGATTGGGGGCCAATATTTGACATTCTTAAGGAATAACCCAGAATTTTATATCTGGCCAAATGAAGCTTCATAAATAAAGGAGAAATAACTTCCTTTTCAGACAAGCAAATGCTAAGGGAATTTGTTCATGCCAGACCTGTCTTACAAGAGCTCCTAAAGGACACTAAATATGGAAAGGAAAAACCATCACCACTACGACAAAAATGCACTGAAGTACACAGACCAGTGACACTATGAAGCAACCACATAAACAAGTCGCCAAAATAGCCAGCTAGCATCATGATGACAGGATCAAATCCACACATAACAATACTAACCTTAAATGTAAATGGGCTAAATGCCACAATTAAAAGACACAGAATGGCAAGCTGGATGAAGAATCAACACCCATAAGTATGCTGTCTTCAAGAGACCCATCTCACATGCAAAGACAAACACAGGCTGAAAATAAAGGGATGGAGTAAAATGTACCAAGCAAGTGGAAAACAGAGAAAAGCAGGAATTGCAATCCTAGTTTCTGATAAAATATACTTTAAACCAACAAAAACCAAAGAAGACAAAGAAGGGCAATCCATTAATGGTAAAGGATTTAACTCAACAAGAAAACCTAACTATTCTAAATATATATGCACCCAACACAGGAGCACCCAGATTCATAAAGCAAGTTCTTATAGACCTACAAAGGGACTTAGACTCCCACGCAATAATAGTGGGAGACTTTAACACACCACTGACAACATTAGACAGAATGAGACAGAAAATTAACAAAGATATTCAGGACCTGACCTCAGCTCTCAATCAAGTGGACCTGATAGACATCTACAGAACTCTCCACCTCAAAACAACAGATTTACATTCTTGTTATTGCCACATGGCACTTACTCTAAAATTGATCACATAATTGGAAGTAAAACACTCCTCAGCAAACGCAAGACTGAAATCATAACAAATAGTCTCTCAGCCCATAGCACAATCCAACTAGAACTCAAGATTAAGAAATTCACTCAAGACTGAGCTTGGTGGCTCATGACTGTAATCCCATAACTTTGGGAGAGCAAGGCAGGTGGATCACTTGAAGCCAGGAGTTTGAGACCAGCCTGGCCAACATGATAAAACCCCATTTGTACTAAAAATACAAAAATTATCCAGATGTGGTGATGCATGCCTGTAATCCCAGCTACTCAGAGGGTTGAGGCAGGAGAATCACTTGAACTCAGGAGGCAGAGATCCTGGGCCAAGAGATTGTGAACTGAGATTGTGGCACTGCACTCCAGCCTGGGCAACAGAGCAAGACTCTGTCTTGAAAAAAAAAAAAGAAAAGAAAAGAAAAAGAAATTCACACAAAACCATACAACTACATGGAAATTGATTCTTGGGTAAAAATGATAAAATTAAGGTAGAAATCAAGAGGTTCTTTGAAGCTAATGAGAGCAAAAGACAGTGTACCAGAATCTCTGGGACACAGCTAAAGCAGTGTTAAGAGGAAAATTTACAGCACTAAATGCTCACATCAAAAAGCTAGAAAGTTCTCAACAACCTAACATCACAACTAAAAGAACTAGAGAACCAAGAGCAAACAAACTCCAAAGTTAGCAGAAAACAAGAAATAACCAAGGTCAGAGCTAAACTGACAGAGATAGAGGCCTGAAAATCCCTTATAAAATCAATGAATCCATAAGCTGTTTTTTTTTAATAATAATAAAATAGACTACTAGCTAGACTAACAAAGAAGAAAAGAGAGAAGATTGAGATAAACAAAATCAGAAATGACAAGGGGAATATCATCAATGACCCTACAGAAATACAAACAACCATCAGAGTATACTATAAAGACCTCTATGCACATAAACCAGAAAATCTATAAGAAAGAAATTGACTCCAAGAATAGGCCAATAAAATATTCTGAAATTGAGGCAATACTAAATAACCTACCAACCAAAAAAAGCGCAGGGCCAGATAGATTCACAGCTGAATTCTACCAGAGGTAGAAAGAAGAGCTGGTACCATTCCTACTGAAATTATTCCAAAAAATTGAAAAGGAGGGATTCCTCCCTAATTCCTTCTATGAGGCCAGCATCGTCCTGATACCAAAACCTGATAGAGATACAACAAAAAAAGAAAACTTCAGGCCAACATCCTTGATGAACATTGATGCAAAAACCATTATCAAAATACTGCAAACCAAATTCAGCAGCACATCAATAAGCTTATCTACTATGATCAAGTAGCCCTCATCCCCATGATGTAAGGCTGGTTCAACATACACAAATCAATAAATGTAACTCATCACATAAACAGAAGTAAAGACAAAAAGCACATGATTATCTCAATAAATGCAGAAAAGGCCTTCAATAAAATTCAACGTTCCTTCATGTTGTAAACTCTCAGTAAACTGGGTATTGAAGGAACATGCCTCAAAATAATAAGAGCCATTTATGACAAACCCACAGCCAATATCATACGAAATGGGCAAAAACTGAAAGCATTCCCCTTGAAAACTGGCACAAGACAAGTTTGCCCTCTCTCACTGCTCCTATTCAACATAGTATTGGAAGTTCTGGCCAGGGCAATCAAGCAAGAGAAAGAAATAAAGGGTATTCGAACAGGAAAAGAAGAAGTCAAACTATTTTTGTTTGCAGATGACATGATCCAATATCTAGAAACCTCATTGTCTCAGCTCAAAAGCTTCTTAGGCAGATAAGCAACTTCAATACAGTCTCAGGACACAAAATCAATGTGCAAAGATCACTAGCATTCCTATATACCAACAACAAGCAAACCAAGAGCCAAACCATGAATGAACACCTATTCACAATTACTGCAAAGAGAATAAAATATCTAAAAATATAGCTAACAAGGGCCATGAAGGACCTCTTCAAGGGGAACTATAAACCATGGCTAAAAGAAATCAGAGACGACACAAACAAAAGGAAAAGCATTTCATGGTCATGGATGGAAAGAATCAATTTCAGTATGAAAATGGCCATACTGCCAAAAACAATTTATAGATTTAATGCTATTCCCATTAAACTACCATTGAAATTCTTCACTGAACTAAAATAAATAAATAAATAAATTTTTAAAAAGATTTTAAAATTCACATAGAACCAAAAAAGAGCCTAAATATTCCAGACAATCACAAGCTAAAAGAACAAAGCTGGAGGCATCACACTACCTGACTTCAACTATACTACAGGGCTACAGTAACCAAAACAGTATGGTACTGATACAGGAACAGCCACATAGACCAATGGAACAGAACCCAGAACCTAGAAATCAAACCACACACTTAAAACCAGCTGGTTTTTGACAAACTGTCAAAAACAAGCAATGGGGAAAGGATTCCTTATTTCATAAATGGTACTGGGGGAACTAACTTGCTAGCCATATGCAGAAAATTGAAACTGGACCCCTTCCTGACACCATATACAAAAATCAGCTCAACATGGATTAAAGATTTAAATGTAAAATGCAAAATTATAAAGAACTCAGAAGAAAATCTAGGCAATATTATTAAGGACATAGGCACAGGGAAAGATTTTATGATGAAGAAACCAAAAGCAATTGCAACAAAAGCAAAAATAGACAAATGACATCTAATTAACTAAAGAGCTTTGGTTAGTTTAATTAGATTTCATTTGTTATGCACAGCAAAAGAAGACATCATTAAAGTAAATAGACAACCTACAGAATGGGAGAAAAATTTTGTAATCTATTAATCTGACAAAGGTCTAAGATCTAGTATCTATAAAGAACTTAAACAAATTTACAAGAAAAAAAAAAAAGACAACCCCATTAAAAAGTGGCCCAGGACATAAACAGACACTTCTCAATAGAAGACATACATGCAGCCAACAAACATATGAAAAAAAAACCCTCAGCATCACTGATAATTATAGAAATGCAAGTCAAAACCACAATGAGATGCCATCGCAGATAAGTCAGAATGACTATTATTAAAAAGCCAAAAAACAACAGATGCTGGTGAGGTTGTGGAGAAAAAGGAATGTTTTTATACTGTTGGTGTGAGTGTAAACTAGTTCAACCATTGTGGAAGACAGTGTGGCAATTCCTCAAAGACCTAGAGGGAGAAATATTATTTGACACAGCAATCATACCCAAAGGAATATAAATCATACTATTATACATGTATGTGTATGTTCATTACAGCACTGTTCACAATATCAAAGACATGGAATCAACATAAATGCCTATCACTAATAGACTGGATAAATAAAATATGGGATATATACACCATAGAATACTATGCAGCCATAAAAAGGAATAAGATCATGACCTTTGCAGGGACATGGATGGAACTGGACCCCATTATCCTTAGCAAACTAATTCAGGAACAGAAAACCAAATACTGCATCCTCACTTACAAGTGGGAGCTGGATGATTAGAATACATGGACACATGGAGGGGAACAATACACACTGGGCCTGTCAGAGGGTGGGGTGTGGGAGGAGGGAGAGCATCAGGAAGATTAATTAATGGATGCTGGGCTTAATAAATGGGCCATGGGATGATCTGTGCAACAAAGCACCATGACACATACTTACGTAACAAACTTGCACATCCTACACATGTACCAGCGAACTTAAAGTTGGAAATTTAAAAAAACAAAAACGAAAAACACATGTCAGTCTCTGGTCCAGGCGTGTGGGTGTCAGCCGCGACCTCTGTGCTGGGATGAGCCATGCTCCCAGTTAAAGCAAGGGAGCCCAGCCACAGCCACGGCCAGCACAGTGGTAGCAGTTGGACTGACCATTCCAGCTGCAGGATTTGCAGGCCGTTATGTTTTGCAAGCCATGAAGCACATGGAGCCTCAAGTAAGACAAGCTTTTCAAAGTCTACCAAAGTCTGCCTTCAGTGATGGCTATGACAGAGTTGGGTTTGAATCCAAAATGACAAAACGGGAAGCAGCGTTAATACTAGGTGTAAGCGCTACTGCCAATAAAGGGAAAATAAGAGATGCTCATCAACAAATCAGGCTTTTAAATCATCCTGACAAAGGAGGATCTCCTTATATAGCAGCCAAAATCCATGAAGCTAAAGATTTACTAGAAGGTCAAGCTAAAAAATTAAGTAAATGTATGACGAATTTTAAGTTCATATTAGTCTACGTATATGAGTACTACGTTTTTATAATAAAATACCTCAGAGCTACAATTTAAAAAACACAAACAGAATAGGTGGCAAATCTAGGAGACTTCAGGCAGAATCGTTTCCTAAAACTCTTCACATTACTTAGGATTCCAGTTAGGTGAGGTCTTGTTCTATGCATATGGCTTGGCATATTGCAAGGGGCAGTTGCCAAAAACTTCTAACAGCCAGGCACTCTCTTAATCTGTTGTTACCTGTGGGGGCAGGCATAGCTTTCTTCATTCTGAAGATGAGGAAACTGATGCTCAAAGAGGCAAAGAAACTTGCCCCACAAAAGAAAATAAAAGATAATGGAGAACACTTCCATATTCTTCAGTGGAATGACTTCCAAAATAAATTCATAAGTGAAAAATAAAAGAGAGAGAAATGTGGGTATTATGCTACCACTCATCTATGAAAGCAGACGGGATATATCACACACATACAGTCTTTGCTAGTATTAAAAAAAAAAAAAACAAGATGGAAGGGTAATCAGAAAACTAAAAAATGTATTTACACATGGGAGAGGGTGAAGAAAACAGGAGTAGAAACTAGATTTTTCAGAATATATATCATTTTCTATAACTGAATCAGGAATCATGTAGACACATAATTAAATAAGCTTTAAAACAAAATCTCTAAAAATCAAAAGCAAAATGAAACAAATGAACTTAACCTGCAAATCAAGTTAGTAGTCTCATTATACAGACAGAAACGATTTCAAGTGCCTTCAGAAAAGAAATTAGACGATATATCCCTAAACAGATATGACCTAAGCACAAAATAAAAATAACATAAACATATTATTTAAAATGGTCTCAGTAATTATATTGTTAGTGATAGTGTTTCACCAATCTAGTATTAGAAGACTGCCTGTGCATTGTGAGATTAAAACTGTCTTTGGTTAGATTCTGTGATAAATATACTTTGATACTCTTCTGTGGGATTTCATGCAGGTCATTTGTTAGGGACTGTCCTCAGGAAACAATACCAATCAGAGACTGAAGGAAGTAGGGCCAGGCAGAGGTACAGGTTGAATTGTCAGGCAAGAGAGACCTTGGTTGATCCCATGGGAAGCTGTTAAATTGCTGGTCTTTAAGAGGTGTCTCAAACTGAGACAAGGAAATCTTACCTTTGTACTCCCATGTAACCCAATCTTTGGATGAGAATTTCACCTGCGGAGGAGGCATAACCTTGGCCAAGACAGTACTTTTTGGCTGAGGGCAATTTCTGGTGAAGAACTCAGCCGTGGAGCCATCAGCAGGGAACAGCTCCAGCAGATAGAAGTATTTTGTTCCTTAAATGAAAGTTGCCAGGAAAGTCTGTTTTTTTTTTTAAAAAAAGAGGTATTTTGTTCCTGAAGGGAAAGATCTGGGCAGCATCTACTACTATTACTACTACTAATAATAATGAAAATAATAATTATGCTGGTGACATTGGAACCCGGGAGTCTGAGCACGGTATAGAGGATAAAGAGACCTAAGACAGATGAGGTTAAGTAAAAAACTTTCAGACCTGATTTTGAAATTAAAGTTTCAGTATAAACTCATGATCTATTTTAACTTTAAAAAATATTCAATACTTAACTTTGCTCACTGAAAAGAGTTTGAAATAAGAAACAACTGTGTTGTAAGGAGCATCCCTAGTGCTTAGATACTGGTCTCTAAATGCCATTTCTCACTCAGGTTAACAAGAAAACTAAGAAATGGCTGATTTCAACTCCAAGGCAGAAAAAGTACAAGTTGGTCCTGAGACATTTTGTAATACAAGAAAGCAGAGAAACTATCCAATACTAGTGAGGGTGTGTCAAAAGAATTTAACCTTCAGAAGCCAGCCTGAAGAGGCTTCTACTATCACAAATTTGAGCTTCAATAAGAATAATAACTGCAAAAATGTAAGATTCTATGTGTCACGCTTCCAGCTTCTGCTCATGATATAGAAACTTAAGGCCAGGTATGATGGCTTACACCTACAATCCCAGCACTTTGGGAGGCTGAGGTGGGCAGATCACCCAAGATCAGGAGTTTAAGACCAGCCTGACCAACATGGAGAAACCCTATCTCTACTAAAAATACAAAATTAGCCAGGCACGGTGCCACATGCCTGTAATCCCAGCTACTCAGGAGGCTGAGGCAGGAGAATCACTTGAACCTAGGAGGCGGAGGTTGCAGTGAGCCAAGATTGCACCATTGCACTCCAGCTTGGGCAACAAGAGCAAAATTCCATCTCAAAAATAAATAAATAAATAAATGTGAAAAGAGCTTCAGTCTTATCCTTAAAACAACTACAATAACAAAAAGTGCTGAGCAATTTGCAAAATCAAAACTTAACTTTAATCTATAGAGAGCTGAGACCGAAGGTGGTGAACTATTCTGAAGCCTCTGAAGAGAGGGAATGTAAGGCACTTAATGAGCTAAGGCAGACACCACTAGACACTGCTTAAAAGAAAAAAAAAACATCCAAAATGTTTAATAAATTGCTATCAGTAATGTAGGCCATCTAGAGAATATGAGCATTTTGGGGCCAATGGGAATTTGTATCCATTCACAGGCTCTTCTCCACAGACATCACAAAATTCCCACATAAAAAGTTTGGATAGGCTGATATGGTGGCTCATGCCTGTAATCTCAGCACTTTGGGAGGCCAATGTGGGCAGATCACTTGAGGTTTGGAGTTCCAGACCAGCCTGGACAACATGGTGAAACCCCATCTCTACTAAAAATACAAAAATCAGCCAGACGTGGTGGTACATGCCTGTAATTCCAGCTACTCGAGAGGCTGAGGGAAGAGAATCACTTGAACTCCAGAGGTGACAGCTGCAGTGAGCCGAGATCATGCCATTGTACTCCAGCCTGGGTGACAGAGCAACACTCAGTCTCAAAAAAAATAGCTTGGCTTAAAGGGGCCTCAGATGCTAAGTAGGACAGATTCCTTCTTGATTCAGGCCTGGGGATCTTTCTCCCCTGTTTCTCCTGTGGTGTTTTTTAAAAATGTCTGCAAGTTCATCAATACTTCTTTCATCTAAAACGTAAAGACTAATTCTCCTCCCCTTGAGTGTAAGACTAGATGTAATGTATCTTCTAATAAATCAAACATGACAGAAATGAGAAGTGGCTATGTTACAAAAGGCACTACATTTTCCTTTTTTCCCTCTGCTTTGGGCCCCTCACTCTGGAGGAATTTAACTGCCACAGTACAAGGAAACTCAAGCAATCTGTGGAGGGGTCCTCCTTTCAACAGCCATGTGAGTGATCTGTTTTAGAAGCAACTCCCAAAGCCACAGTCAAACCTTCAGACAACATCAACCCCTGCCAGCATCCTACCTGCAAGCACATGAGTGACCCCATGTAGAGCCATTCAACTAAGTTGCTCCAAAACTACTGTCCCATTGAAATGGTGATATAATAAATGATTAACGGTTTAAACCATTGGGTTGTAATTTGTTATGTATCAATAGATAGCTAATGCAGATTTGGGGACCTGACAGCAGGGTGTTACCATAACAAAACCTAATACATGTGAGTGGAGAAAGCTGCAAAGATATTTAAGGAGGCACTGATAAAATATTGACAGGACGTACATTACACACATCATTGCAGAAGGCTTTGAGGAGGGCTGTGGGTAAAGACTTAAAGGAAAGTGAGGAAAATCTAGAAAATGAAGGAAGGGAAATCCTGGTTATGTAGCAGCAAATTATTTAGCAGCCCTCTTACCTGTCACAATATGGAAAGTAGAGAATATACCAAGTGAATGGACAGTTTAGCCAAGGAGGGAGACAGTTTAGCCAAGGAGGGGACAGTTTAGCATTCCAGGGAGAATGCTGAAGGTGCTGCTTGGTTTCTTTTTTCCATTATCAATAAAATATAAAGTAGAGAGGTAGGCTAAACAAAGGACAATAAAATAAAAATGAGCCAGGACATGATGATTTTGAAAATTCTTAGCCTCTCCAGAGAGCAAACAATGCTAAAATTAAGAAATGTCTTCAAGTAAAGATCAAATCAAAGGTGCTATCAGAAACACATGGTCTGGAGAAGAAACTGAGGGTAAGCCTATAAAATTCTTGGTTAAAACTTCACAAAGGTGGCAGAGGGATCCAGCATGGCTGATTAGGAGAAGTTCAGGATTGCAGCTCCCAGTGAAAGTGCGGAGGGTGAGTGGATGCCGCATTTCCAGAGGGATTTTTATTGCCCACAGACCAGATTCCCAGGCAGAGGAGCCCCATGGGTCAGCAGCACAGCTGGTTTGGCTGGTGTGGCTGTTTTGCCAGCACCCTGGTGCAGTGGTTCTCCATACAAAATACATGGGTCTGGGTGCTGTTTTAGCTGCTGATTGGAGCTCCTGGAAGGCAGAGTTGCCCACTAATCTGATTAAAAAGGGGACTGAAACAGGTAGCCAGGCCAGGAGATTCCTGGGCAAAAAAGCACCATGAATCTCAGCACCACTGTTTCAGCCAGCTCAGTGGGTCACCACATCGGAAATCACACAGATGCTGGTGCATTTTCAATGGGCGACTGGAACACCTGGGAGACAGTCGACAGTTCAATGAAAAAAAAAGGCTCTGAGGCAGGGAACCAGGTGATCAGGCTTGGCTGGTCCCACTCCTACAAAAAATAGCAAACAGAAACACTCTGGATTGAGAGTTTAACAGCAAGCACAGCTGAACCTGGGATGGTCCAGCTCTGTGGGGGAGGGGCGTCTGCCATTACCGAGGCAGTCCACCACTACAGAGGTAGTTTGCTATTGCTGAGGCAGCCCACCATTGCCTAGGTAGCATGCCATTACAGAGAGAGTCTGCCATTATAGAGGTGGGCCACCACTGCCAAGGCAGTTCTAACTACACCTGTATAAACAGGACTGCAGGGAATTTCACATGGCAGCTGGGCGGAGCCCATAGCAGCTTAGCAAAGCCTCTACAGGCAGACAGTGACTAGACTACCTCCTTGCTGGGCAGGGCAGCCCTGAAAAAAGGAAGCATCACAACAGAAACTCATAAATAAAGCCCTAACTCCCCAGGACAGAGCACCTGGGAAAAA